GGCGAGGGAGGCGCCGCGGGGGGGGCCCTGGCACGGTTTCGCCACGTTGCCGCCCGTGGGCGCCTCGTAGGCGCCCTGTGCGCTGGGAGGGTCCGTCGAGCTGTCGCCGCGTCGTCACCAGCGGGCGCCTCGTGGGCGCCCCGTGCGCTGAGAGGGGGCCGACCACGGGTTCGCCACGCTGCAGCCCGTGGGCCTCGCGGGCGCCCCGTGCGCCGAGCGGGTCCGCCGAGGTGTCGCTACATTGCCGCCCGTGGGCGCCTCGTGGGCGCCTCGTGGGCGCCCCCTGCGCTGGGGGGGGCCCGCTGAAGTTCCGCCGCGCTGCCGCACGCAGGCGCCTCGTGGGCGCACCGTGCGAACACCGCACAGCGCACACCGCATAGCGTACACCAATCAGAATGCACCACATCGCTTACACCGCGCATCCCACACATCACGGCTGACACCCCTCAGGTTGCACGACACAGATTTCACCACCTGGCTCGCAACACACAGATTGCACTGCACTCGCTGAACCACGTAGGTTGCACCACATAGCTCACACCACATGATTCGCAACATATGAAAAATATTCTCTTTGAGGAAATTTGATCCTACCCGTATCACCCCCAGGTTTATCGGACCGGCCCAGAACATTGCAAATTGCATATGATAACGCGTCCTTGCTCATTGCCCCGATGAACTCATACCACCCCAGCCAGGCCGGAAGGCGGCCCCCCTCATCGTATGCCACAAACCTATGCGCGCATACTCGTTTATCACAAATCATCCGTTTTGGTAAATCCGTTTTGCAAAAAAAAAACTGACGAAACGCACGCGCGCGTCGTCGCGCGCGCATGCCCGAATCTTTCGAAAACCTAGAGCTTCGCAAAGATGCACTTCAGAATCGAAAGTCACGAAAACCGATGAGGAAAAATGAAAAAAATGGTTTCGCCAAAATGGTTCTCAACAAACAAACCTGCGCCCGCGCTCTTGCGAATTCTTAGGGAACCATGGATTTTTCAAAATGTTCATAACATGCTACCGAGCGGACCTCGCGCGCGCGCATGTCGAAATCGGTCGAACGCCATTGCGCATGTGTTGTCGCAAAAATCCCTTGCAAAAAACTGGACGACGTGTTCACGCGCGTGTCGTCGCGCGCGCATGCCGCAATCCTTCAACAACGCTAGGTTTCGCAAGGATTTCAAAAACGGATGTCCCGAGAACCCATAAAAACAAATGGTTCTGCAACATCAGTTGTCAAAAAAACCTTCGGTCGCGGCTTGCGGATTCTTAACAAAACCACAAGTCCCCCAACATGTTCTTCAAAGTCTGCCAAGCA